CTATGGGGTTGCAACACTCATCTCCGCTTTCAGGCCGAGGGAGCCAGCATTTGTCCATAGACAGCTTTCTGGCTCATGTGGCCAGCATGACTATACCGCTTCTGGCGCAACGGGACACTGTGACAGAAGCCAGAGCGCACAGAAATGCCATTTACCTTCCCACTGCAGTGGTACCTATTTATCTACTTGCACTGGCGTGCTTTCAAACTGTGAGGTTGGCAGAAGCTGGGACAGAGCAATGGGAGCTCACCCCATCGCGGGGATTCAAACTGCTGATTTTCTGATCGGCAAGCCCCAGAGGCTCAGTGATTTAGACCACAGCACCACCCGTGTCCTCCCTGTGACATATATGATGTCTTGATGATGTATTATGGGAAACTTTGGGAAACTTTAAAATACTGATGTAACCATTGTTCAGGGCTTCTGGCTGCTTTGCCTTTGTGTTAGTGGGAAGTCTTGTTGCAACAATAAAGATCAGGCCTACTGGCTGCTGTTTTGCTTCTATCTCCTGGCCAATGGGAGCCAAGGTTAGGCAATTGTGGGGTGCTCAAAGGACTCCCTTTTACAGTACTTCGCATAAAAAGGACCCCACATGCAGAAAACAAAGGTATGGCAGAGGGAAATAGAGAACAGGCACCTCCCTGATGTGCTAGTCTTCTACATGCAGAAAGTTGTGTGTGTTTTTAAAATGTGTTGAAGCACTGAAAAACGCACCTCCACCTGTCTGCAATGATAAACTCTGTCTTCTTCCACTATCCCATAATTCTATATAACTTGCAGAGTGGCTCAAACTTGGACCCAAATTAAATGTGACACCAGGTGAGCAGGAACAGATCTTGCCCAGTGTCTAGCACAGAAGGCTTCACATTTAATTAGAGCTATTAGGTGTAACCAGTACTGTTCAAGAGGAATTACATAATCGTGCAATGGGACTTCACCTTCCTCTCGTCTCTCTGCCCTCCCCCAGGTTTCGAGGATACATTGGGGGAGCTGCAGAGAAAAGGAGGGGCACGTTTCATTGTGCAAGTATAAGTCTGTTGTGCAAACAGAACAGCAAACACATATTCCTGGTTGGGGCGGGCCTTGGGCAAATTGTCAACCGTGAACACAGAAGAAATTGCCATGCAGATAAGTATGAACAGTGGTCATTATGAATTTAATAGTGGTCATACACACGCACATGTGCAAAAAAAATTATGCCAGGTTATTTATTTATTTGCATTTATATACCATTAAATATTCAAAAAATCTCAGTTGCGACGGTAACATAGACATCCTAGCAGCAGTGAATTCAATCCACAAGTGATAGCATGGAACTTATTGATATGTTGTAAACTTCACGTTGCAATCTCCGTTGCAAGTTCCTTCATGAAAGAATAGCCACCTTAAGGACAGTTACGAAGTTTCCTGGGAAGTCATAAAAAATGCTTCCCGCGCTGCTTTTTCAATATTAGTGTCTTCACAGATAACATTAGTGTCATCACACAGATAATATTGCATCCTAACCCATATTCAAGTTTCAAAAGTTCCTAAACACCTGAATCCACACCCTCACCTGCTAGATATATTGTTGGCCTTGTGTGTTCTGTTCTGCAGTATTTTTGCTCTTACAGCTGCAGAAACCTGCATGCTGCAGCGTCTTTACATACACATTTATGTAAAGCACTCCCCCTGCCCACACAGGAATTCTGGGAACTTTAACTAAAGGGTCCTGGGAATCGTAGCTCTGTGAGGGGCAAACTACAGTTCCCAGGCATCCGGGGGACACACAAAACACTCTTTAAATGCACTCCAAATGTACTGTGTATGCACAGCCTTTTGCAGAACAAATGAATGCCAATTAAGCGAAACAAACATGCAGTGCTATGACGGAAGACAGCGCTCGAGTTTAAAAGTAAACATGAAGTAATCCAAGGCATGTGATTTGTTCAAATATCCCTAAAGAACAAGGATACTAAATTGAGAATACAAAGGGTGCTCGTGAGGGCTAATATAGCAGAAGTGCTGGTGGCAGATCGGGGGGGGGGGGGAATAGACCACAAAGAGAATTTCCAAACTATTGCTATTTTGGGGTAGGGTTCAATCACATACTGGCAGCTGCGCCCCCCCCATCAAGTAAAACAATTGTTGTTGTTTAGTCGTTTAGTCGTGTCCGACTCTTTGTGACCCCATGGACCAGAGCACGCCAGGCACCTCTGTCCTCCACTGCCTCCCGCACTTTGGTCAAACTCATGCTGGTAACCTTGAAAACACTATCCAACCATCTCGTCCTCTGCTGTCCCCTTCTCCTTATGCCCTCCATCTTTCCCAGCATCAGTGTCTTCTCCAGGGAGTCTTCTCTTCTCATGAGGTGGCCAAAGTACTGGAGCCTCAGCTTCAGGATCTGTCCTTCCAGTGAGCACCAGGGCTGATTTCCTTAAGAATGGATGCGTTTGATCTTCTTGCAGTCCATGGGACTCTCAAGAGTCTTCTCCAGCACCATAATTCAAAAGCAGTAAAACAATAGGAATATTTAACTAACTGACTAAAGTTTGTTTTTCTTCCCCCTGCCCCACCATTAATTTTATGCCATTGGTTCTGGGTTTCGCTAGTGGGGTCACTAGTGAAAGTGATGGCTGGTTCAGGCACCAGAAAAGAAGTGCTACTCACACAATCACTCACTCTTCGGAACTCATTGCCACAAGAGTCATCCACTAGCTGGGAGAAACCAGAAGATGGAAATACGTTCCCAGTTCCTAATTTGACATTATTCAAAAGCTGCTCCTAAGCATGTTTACCAAGAGGGATGTGCTTCTTACCTACCGAGTTTGCATATGATTACAGCTTTATTACCTTATTTAATCCAGAGGTGCAGGTGCAGCCAATATGAGGGCTCTGTAGAGCTCTCCAGTCTTAAAATAAATGTTCAGACTGCCCCTAAAGAATACATTCCTCAAACAACCAGAAAGCTGTTCCCCTATGCCAGGTGCTATATGCTGATGTAAAGGTAAAGGTAAAGGGACCCCTGACCATTAAGAGTGAAGGGGGCCATCTTGGAAGTGAGGAGGGGGTGGTAGCCTGCAAGAGAGAATTCTCTATAGGGAGCTGTAACACTCATTCAAGCCAGTAGTTTAGTTTGTGGTAAAGGTAAAGGTAAAGGGACCCCTGACCATTAGGTCCAGTCGCAGATGACTCTGGGTTTGCGGCGCTCATCTCGCTTGGCCAAGGGAGCCGGCGTACAGCTTCAGGGTCACGTGGCCAGCATGACTAAGCCACTTCTGGAGAACCAGAGCACACGGAAACGCCGTTTACCTTCCCGCTGGAGCGGTACCTATTTATCTACTTGCACTTTGACATGCTTTCGAACTGCTAGGTTGGCAGGAGCAGGGACCGAGCAACGGGAGCTCACCCCGTTGCGGGGATTTGAACCGCCGACCTTCTGATCGGCAAGCCCTAGGCTCTGTGGTATGCTGATGTACACAGTCACAAAGTCGATTTGTGCACCATGTGCTCTTGTCCTCTCCCTGGTACAATACAGTCAAAGAGCCGGGAGTCTATCAGTTCTGAGCTCCACAAAAAATAACCTTCAGACTATGGCACACCATAAATCCAGACCACGGGCCATCTGTCCCCTGGGAACTATAGTACAGGCAACTCCCCATGTACACATGTTCAATATGTGTGTGACCGCACAAATACGCATTGCACCTTTTTGCACAAATGCGCATTGCAGGGTGGTGGCAGAACAGGGTGTTTGCAGGCTTTTTCAATGGTGCTTCAAAAACAGTCAAACCTTGGTTCCCGAACGGCTTAGTTGCCGAGCAAATCGGCTCCCAAACGCTGCAAACCCGGAAGTAAGTGTTCCGGTTTGTGAATGTTTTTCAGAAGCCGAACGTCCGACGCAGCTTCCGCTTGAGCGCAGGAAGCTCCTGCAGCCAATCGGAAGCCATGCCTTGGTTTTTGCACCAATTCGGGAGTCGAATGGCCTCCCGGAATGGATTAAGTTTGAGAACCAATGTACCACTGTATATGCCGTTTCAGTGCCTGTAAACTGGGAGTTGCCTGTATTTTCCTTGCAACAGTATGAATCCAGGTGGAAATTGCAGGAGAAGCAGGTGAGAGAGATACAGCCAAGATGCATGATTCTGAATCAAGACAAATTAACTCCAGTTGGACTTGGGAATGAGGAAATCCACCCTTGCGCCAAATGTGTTGGGGATCTGTCGGGCTGCCAACAGGAGCAAAGCTCTCAGGTCATTCCAGCAGGCAGTATTATCAGCAGCTGAGGTCCACTTACTTTGAAGCACCGACCCATTGGATATAAGAACATAGGAACCTGCCTTATGCCAAATCAGACCACTAGCCCCTCTAGCACAATATTTGTCTACACTCTGGCAGCAGCTTTGTGGAGTTTCAGGCAGGGAAAATTCCCAGTCTTGCCCAGAGATGCTGCCGAGGACTGGATTTTGTAGGTGAGGCGTGGGACCTACCACTGAGCTATAATAATAACAATGATAATAATAATAAATTTATTGTTTATACCCCACCCATCTGGCTGGGTTTCCCCAGCCACTCTGGGCAGCTCCTAACAGAACACAGTGGTACCTCAGGGGTTAAGTACTTAATTCGTTCTGGAGGTCTGTTCTCAACCTGAAACTGTTCTTAACCTGAAGCACCACTTCAGCTGTGCTGCCAGAGCACGATTTCTGTTCTCATCCTGAAGCAAAGTTCTTAACCTGAAGCACTATTTCTGGGTTAGCGGAGTCTGTAACCTGAAGCATATGTCACCTGAAGCATATGTAACCTGAGGTACCACTGTATTAAAAACACGATGAAAGATCAAACATTAAAAACTTCCTGAAACAGAGCTGCCTTCAGATGTCTTCTAAAAGTCAGGTAGTTGTTTATTTCCTTGACATCTGATGGGAGGGCGTTCCACAGGGCGGGCGCCACCACCGAGAAGGCCCTCTTCCTGGTTCCCTGTAACCTCACTTCTCGCAGTGAGGGAACTGCCAGAAGGCCCTCAGAGCTGGACCTCAGTGTCTGCGCTGAACGATGGGGGTGGAGAGGCTCCTTCAGGTATACTGGGCCGAGGCCCTTCCCGCTGGCTTTCCGCTACCACCAAGTGAAGAGAAACTTGTAGAAGTAGTCATTGGATTTGAAGCGGAAGCCCTTTTCCGGAACGTAGCCCTGGAGAGAGATCTTGTACCCTTTGGCCTCCACGTCAATCTTGATGCAGTCGAGTAGGTCAGAAATGCCGGGAGAGGCTTTCCAGGGTCCAAACTTGACCACCGATTTCTTGTAGGAGTCCAAGCCATTGAGGGTGTCATGGCACTTGACGACATCCTCGTCGGTCTTCATCACGCACACCATGACACTGGACTGCCGGGCCGCCACCGCTTCTGCCCTCGCGATGCGGATCATCAGCTCGATGTTCTCGTTGTAGCTGGGCACGCGGGCGAGGAACTGTTTCCTGGCCACCAGCTCCCCAAAGATCTGGGGGGAGTCCTCCAGCTGCTTGACCAAAGGCTCGATGTTGTAAAAGAGGGCTTCCTTGTACACCTCCTGGACGCAGTTCGTGGGCACCTGGTTGCTGCGCAGGTATTCCAAGATGTACTTGAAGTAAGTCCCGGGCCGGTCTATGAAATATCTTCCCTCGGGGTCCGTACGGGGCTTGGTCTGTCCACTGGCAAACATCTCAGCCAGCTTGGAACCAGGGTACTTCTTCAAGGTGCTTAGGGTGGTGGTGAATATCTCCCCGCCAACATTGAGCTCTATGATTTGAGACTGCTGGAAACAAAGAAAAGGAAAGCAGGGTGATATCCAGGGAAGGAAGGATGGATCTGTCCACTCTGATTTCTCACTGTTTATCATTTTTCCAGTCTTTAAGTTCATTAACACAGGCTTTTGGCCCTTATTTTGGAGGGTAACCAAGTATGTCTGGGGGTCTCTTGCACACCTGCTTTTGCAAACCCTCCAACATTTCTCCGATGAAAATAGGGATGTCCTATTCCATAATAATAATAATTTTATTATTTCCCTTTCTTTCCCCAGGGCTACAACAGTTTAACAGCAACTCGGGCTGTCAGTGGAAATTTTGCGATCGATGTCCCTACCATCTGCAAAGGCTATAATAAAAACTAGGTTGTGGGATATTGAACACTAAGAACTAACAGTAGCAGCAGGGAAAACATGTTCCCCTCTTTATTTTCAACTTTCTTGGGCCCATGAAACTAACCCAAAATTACCTTGAATTTCTGCTTAACCCTCAAGAAAGGAGGGTATTTTCACTGGCCAGATTTAATTCAAATCCATCCAGTCTCCTTTGGGGAAGGTTCTCAGGCAGGGTGGAAGGAGAAAGTATTTGCCCATGCGAAGACCACCTGGTGGAAACCCTTACACATATGGTTCTCAGTTGTAAACTATATGCTGATCTCCGCCAGCAATTTCTAGGTCAACTCTGTATCCAGGGAGCGGACTTAGAAAAAAATATTGGGGGGGCCGGGAAGCTCATGAATAATAAATTAAGCTCATGAATATGCAAATAAAGTGGCTCCGGCCCTAAATGGGCAAGCCACGCCCCCCCAGCCAGCCGATTGGCTGGCTGGGAGGTGTGGCCAGTCGGGATTCCCGTTCCTCGCGGATTTCCGCAGTGCCTCCGATTTTAGGCGCGCGGCTGGCTGAATGGCGAAGGAGCAGGTTGAGGAGGAGGCGGGGACGGCGGCGGCGCTCTCCTGGAAGGGCGCCCGCCCGAGATTATTGGGGGCTGAGCCCCCCAAAAAATTTTTTTGAGGGGGCTCAAGCCCCCTCAAAAGCCCCATGGAGTCCGGCGCCTATGTCTGTATCCCCAATGGGAACCATGAGTCAGAGGTTCATACAATTTCTATTACTGGGGAATTGATTTCAGGAGCCTCACCAAGTTAGTGGCTAAATATCTCTATTTGGTTTTTTGTCGCCGAAAATACACTGCAGACGTCTGATCTCCCTGGAGACCAAGAGATGTGACGATAGACTGCTCTGCCTCCTTTCTTTTAGCAAATGTTTTGTGCCACTGGGGAAGTGGTACTTTAATTCTGTATTGATTTGTTTGTTTGGATGTTGTTTGTGATGCCAATAAAAGGTTTTACAAATACGAATGTATACTCCACTGGCATTGCCCCAGCTACTCTGCACAGCTTCCCAAATAAATACATAAAAACATAGCATTAAAACCTTTAGGCATGGCTAGCGTGGGGCAAGCCCACCAGGCCAACATTGGCTTAGGTAGGGCATACGCCTTGCCCGGTACTACACCACGCTACGCTCTGCCTTTAGTCCTTACTTATCTCCTTGGTTCGGGGGTCGCATGGCTCTATAGCCTCCAACATTTATCCGATGAAAATAGGGTCGTCATAAGGAAATGTGGGACATTCTGGGATCAAACCAGAAAACAGGACAGCTTCTGTAAATCCAGGACTGTCCCTGGAAAACAGGGACACTTGGAGGGTCTGCTTTTGGTGAGGTGGACCTGTCTTTTTCTAAATATTTATGGATGAGCATTTTGCATTCTTGGGTTGTTGTTTTTTAAAAATATCTTATTAATAAACCAAATAAATCAAGGATAAAGAGCATGACGTAATACTGTTATCGCAGGTTGAAAGCATTAACGTTGAAACGTTCCAAAGCATTTTAAAGAAATACTGTACTCATTTCCCCATAAGCCTGTTAGGCTGGTTAATATGTATATTTTTGTAATAAGGTTAGCTTAATCATAGTTACTATGAACCCAAGGTTCTTTCTTTATTCATGTTCTTATACTTGCTTTTTATGGTTTGTTTGTTTTTTGCTATTTCTGTTCTTACATTGCTACTCGCTTTGAGACACTTTCATGTGAAAAGCAATGAATAAATACAATACGATAATAATTATAATAATGGCAGAAGAAGGACTCATGCAGACTTCCATTTGTGCCACAATTTTTGTCCCGACGCTTTCCCTGGGAAAATGCTCTGCCGAATGGAAACAAACGTAAATCCATGGAAACCCCCATTGATATTTGTTTCAATTCAGTGGTAAACAGAGGGTTTCCCCAGGGAAAGCGGTAGGACAAAAAAACGCCCACCCTCTCAGACCTGAGCTTGGAAGTCCCAAACCTGAGCCTGAGCCTGGAAATCACAGCATAAACAGAAATCTTTTTATAAATGAAATAAATAAACAAAAGAGAACCAGATGAGCCCTGAGACACATCACTGTTGCATTGAGGGCTCACCTCTGCTCTGCATTTCTAGATGCAGGAAAACCCACTTTTTATCACTGAACAGATTGCTTTTTGCTCAGATTCAGTGGGAAACTGCGGGTTACCCCAGGGAAAGCACCAGAACAAATGGGGAGGAAACACTCCGAGAAAGCCCTGGAAAGCTCATACCTGTGGAGCAAAGGTTGGTGTGGATGATGGTCCCTGACAGGGCTGGATTTAGGTTTGACGAGGCCCTCAGCTACTGAAGGTAACAGGGCCCTTTATATGTCCAGCTGTCCTTTGTCAACAACAAATTTCTGCTGCTTTTTTTGTGTTGAATATATGCTATGTGGTAATTTATGGACCTAATAGGTATCTCAAGCCATTTGCACATGTTGCCGTGCAACCAGTCCATGCAGAATGTAGGCACCCTATATATAGAAATGAGCGAAACAGTGATATTTTAGGGAGCAGGCTAGCAGGCGGGGCACGTGACTTACATTAAGGACATCCAATTCCCAAAAGTCTGCGATCTACTCACAGTATAGAAAAACTGGCAGTTGTCGTAAAAACTTACCCATTGTCGTAAAAAGACTGGCAGTGATTTACCCAAAGCTGTGGAGCATTTTTCAGGAAGGCAAAGTTGTGGCGCTTGAGCTTTTTTTAGGAAGACAAAGTTGTGGAGCTTGAGCTTTTTTTTTAGAAAGCCAGAGTTGGTTTTTTTGTAAGATCGCTGAGGGGCCAGAGATCAACCAGGATCTACCAGGAACACCCTGTGATCTACCAGTAGATTGCGATCTACCTGTTGGATATGCCTGACTTACATCATAGGAGCCTACACAACACAAAACACTGTTGCTATATGTAGGTTTGATTTGATTTGTCTTTTTATCTTATATTTTGGAAATGTACATCCAGTTGTTTTTTCCTTTAATTTTTTGGGGGGCCCCCAAGAGAGTGGGACCCTAAGCTACAGCTTGTTTAGCTTATACGTAAATCTGGCACTGGTCTCTGAGACCAGTATTGTTAACTTTGATTAACTTTCTCCAGGGAAAACAAGAAGTCACCTGGGCCTTTCTGTTACCTGGAGATGCTGGGAATTGAACCCACGACCTTCTGCAAAGCTCGGAGCTGCACAGCCCCTCCCCAGCTAGCTGTTCCAGGAAGTCCTGGCCCCGTGATTCACTCACCGTTTGCAGGTTGCTCCCAATTTGTTTCCGGAGGGAAATCGGTTCCGAGGAAATGCTCATCTTTCCCCTTCAACTCACACCTGCAAGCTTGAGATCCGCAGGAAGGGCAGCCAGCCCCCAAAGACCCCAATGTGGTGGAGTGGTGCTGATTTTTCTCTCTTTCTCTCCCACTGCAGGTTCCCCCCTCGCAACTGACTCCGACACATCCGCCTGCCTGCCACTTGGCGGCCACAGCTCCCTGGAGAACTTCCCAGGTGAGTTACAGGTGCAAAGCAGGTAACCCGCAGGTGGAAATATTTTTCCAGGCCGGCCTGTCTTCTGGCAGCCAACTTTTGCTGAGCAGCCCAGAGAGAGAAGCACTGCCTATATATATTCCTCCCTGTGACACCTGCGTAAGAAGCCCTGGCTAACACCCAGCCGGGCAAACCAGACCCTCCCACTTTCTTCAGGTCTCACGTCCAGGTTAGTGTAGCCCGAAACACTCCCTTCTTGTGAACTGGTTACACCCTGCTCCCACAGCTTATCCTGAGCGACTGCTCTGTCTTTTAAAGGCGCAGGAAGCTCATTCAGAGCTTAGCCGCTCTTTTGGGAGACCGGTCAATTGCCTGTTCTAGGCAGGGCTGCCCTCTCTCTGAAAAGGTTTGCAGCTCGGTTTGCAACTCCTAAACCAGTCATCTAGTCCAACCCTCTGCAAAAAAATTTAAATTTATTGGTTTTCACATATTACTTTACAATACAGATGTACCAAAGCCGACACCATTTCCTCCCCATCCCCCCATACATTTACATTTCTATTTCCTCAATCCATCATATTATTCTTTTCTCCTTCCTCCCACTTCCCTCCGCCCCCACGCGATTTCCTCCACATTATACAATTTACAATAATCTTTGCATTCTACAACCTTCTCAAATCATCTATATATTCTTATTACCTTTCCTTACTAATTTTCCTTCCATCCAGTACTTCACATTTTAATCTAGGCATATTAGCATATCTTTTTTTGAGCAATATTTGGCCATATATTCATCAAAACATTTCCACCTTTTTAAATTCCCCCCCCGACTGATTTCTTATTATAGCAGTTAATTTTGCCAAAATTAAATATTCATTTAGTTTACAAATTCATTCCTCCTTTGTGGATGTAGTTTGTGACTTCCACCTAGCAGCAATCACTATTGTAGCAGCTGTACTTGCATATAGAAAAATCCCCCCCCCCCCGTGGTATCTCATCATCTATCAATCCAAGGAGATATGACTCTGGTTTCTTTGTTATTGATATTTTCAACATCTTTAGTTCTTCGTGTACTACTATCCAAAATTTCTTAATTTCCTCACACCTCCACCACATATGCATTATTGTTCCTATTTCTCCACCACATCTCCAACAGAGGTTGGATTTCAATTTGTATATCTTTGCCAACTTAACTGGCGTTAAGTACCACCTATTAGGGACGCGGGTGGCGCTGTGGGTAAAAGCCTCAGCGCCTAGGGCTTGCCGATCGAAAGGTCGGTGGTTCGAATCCCCGCCGCGGGGTGCGCTCCCGTTGCTCGGTCCCAGCGCCTGCCAACCTAGCAGTTCGAAAGCACCCCCGGGTGCAAGTAGATAAATAGGGACCGCTTACTGGCGGGAAGCTAAACGGCGTTTCCGTGTGCTGCGCTGGCTCGCCAGATGCAGCTTTGTCACACTGGCCACGTGACCCGGAAGTGTCTCCGGACAGCGCTGGCCCCCGGCCTCTTGAGTGAGATGGGCGCACAACCCTAGAGTCTGTCAAGACTGGCCCGTACGGGCAGGGGTACCTTTACCTTTACCTTACCACCTATAGAACATCTTTACAAAATTTTCTTTAATTGTATATGAACCCTCTGCAATTTCAGGAATCTCAGCTAAAGTATCCAGCTTTGGTTAATATGCCGGGAAAGTGAGCATAGCTGTCAACTTTTCCCTTTTCTTGAGAGGAATCCTATTTGGAATAAGGGAATTTCCCTTTAAAAAAGGAAAATGTTGACAGCTGTGAAAGTGAGGCACTGGAAAAGTCAGGAATGAATGAATCATTAAAGGTGTTATAAGAATTTTAAGGTCTCAAATGTAGAATAAATATTCATATATGCACACATATCTAAATATATGAACCATGTGTCTGAAATAGTACGGGAGAGCAATCCTGAAGCCATTTTGACTCTCCCAATGAGCTCAAATATTCCTCTGCAGTAAGGGAGGCAAATGGGATTGTCTTTTTGCTTGCAAATCTTGTCTTAAGGGCGTATTTGTGTATGAATAGGGTGAGCCTGTGACCTGGATTCAGGAATTAAAGTATTAACCATCACCAAAGAATGGCCAGGCTGCCCATGTAATGCAATCAGGGACCATTATCAGGTATCCAGTCAGACAAGATTTCTGCTGTAGACCTGCCTCCTTCTGTGATGTATGTATGATGTCTTGGGCTACAGGGTGGGCAATTTCAAAAGTCTATATAAGGGCTTGCACACCATTTTTCAGGGTTCTCCTCCCTCCTGTGTGTGGTGAGTGGGGACCGTGTTGCAACAGTTCCTTGAATAAAGACCAGGCTTACTAGCAGCTTTGCTTCTCAGTATACTCTGGTTGACCTCTGTTGTTTTCTCCTACCGATAGGGAACCCACTTAAGGACTCTATTTGGGCTCCGGAATACCCCATAAGGGAAAGGGAGCGGTTTTTCTTATAACAATGGGAAGATGTATAAACATCCCACAAGCAAATCAAGATGAACGCCTGATGGATTCTCACTGTTGTAGACCCTCCTTTATTGAACAACAAACATTCAATAAAGACTGGACACAGGCCGCATCATAACAGTGTATTCAAAGCAGTATTGCACCACTTTAAACAAAAAATTATCCCAAGGATCCTGGGAACCGTAGGTTGTTAAGGGCGCTGAGAGTTGCTATTCCCCTCACAGAACTACAGTTCCCAGAGTTCTGTGGGGAAAGGGATTAGTCGTTGAACCACTCTGAGATCTGTAGTTCTATGAGGTCTCCCTAAGAGGGTCTCAGCACCCTCAACAGACTACAGCTCCCATGATTCCTTGTGCAAAGGCACGACTGTTTAAATTGGCGCGATACTGCTTCAAATGTATACAGGTACCAACCATTCTGCGTGCGTTCGATGGGGGCCATCATCTGACCACTGTGTCAGCTTTGTGTAAGGCTCACCAGACAAGCGTCATGGTTGAATGGGGATTTGAACCCAGGTCTCCGTGGTTCCTGTCCAACACTCTTTAACGGCTTACACCACACGGCTTTCATGTACAGCCATACCTCGGGTTACAGACATTTCAGGTTACATTTTTTCGGGTTAAAGGTAAAGGTACCCCTGCCCGTACGGGCCAGTCTTGACAGACTCTAGGGTTGTGCGCCCATCTCACTTAAGAGGCCGGGGGCCAGCGCTGTCCGGAGACACTTCCGGGTCACGTGGCCAGCGTGACAAAGCTGCATCTGGCGAGCCAGCGCAGCACACGGAAACGCCGTTTAGCTTCCCGCCAGTAAGCGGTCCCTATTTATCTACTTGCACCCGGGGGTGCTTTCGAACTGCTAGGTTGGCAGGCGCTGGGACCGAGCAACGGGAGCGCACCCCGCGGCGGGGATTCGAATCGCCGACCTTTTTCGGGTTACGGACTGCCAAAACCCGGAAGTACGGGTTACTTCCAGGTTTCGGCAGTTGCACATGCGCAGAAGTGCTAAATCGCGCTTTGCGCATGCACAGAAGCACCGAATCGCAACCTACACGTGCGCAGACGTGCCGCTGCGGGTTGCGAATGTGCATCCCGCTTGGATCACGTCCGCAACACAAGCGTCCACTGTATATAAAAGTCCTATTGCTGTTTTCAGTTTGTGAATGCAAACATGGGCTTGGCTCCAATGATGACTGTGGAACATTCCTTTCCCTTGACTCTGGGACGGGGCATGGCGTGGCCGTGATTTTTCCTTGTCCTACGGCAGCCCATCCCAGGGTTCCCGGGCAAACCCAAGGACCAGCCCCACAATGCTGGCAGCCTTGGCGCACACCTCATTCCTCCCCTACATCAAACAGAGGTTTCTTCCCAACTCTGCAAACTTGGCAGCCCTCCTGCCACACCCTTAAGGTGGCATGCGTTTCTCTCCATTTGCGTTTCCCAGGCATAACCTGACCTCTCCTCCAGCTGTTGCTCTTTATCTATAAAATTATGGAATTCACCCGCATAAGACGAAGTGTGATGCAAACCAACTCAGAAGGCTTTAAAAAGATTAGACAAATTAGAAGGCTAGCAACAGCTAAGGTAAGGTAAAGGTAAAGGACCCCTGGATGGTTACGTCCAGTCAAAGGCGACTATGGGGTTGTGGCGCTCATCTCGCTTTCAGGCCGAGGGAGCTGGCGTTTGTCCACAGGCAGCTTTCTGGGTCATGTGGCCAGCAGGACTAAACCACTTCTGGCGCAATGGGACACCGCGACGGAAACCAGAGCGCACGGAAATGCTGTTTACCTTCCCGCTGCAGTGGTACCTATTTATCTACTTGTGCTGGTGTGCTTTCAAACTGCTAGGAGCTGGGACAGAGCAATGGGAGCTCACTCAGTCGTGGGGATTCGAACCGCCGACCTTCCGATCAGCAAGCCCACGAGGCTCAGTGGTTTAGACCACAGCGCCACCCACGTCCCAGCAACAGCTGTTAGCTACAATGACTAGGTTTGTTTGTTTGCTGCACCAACCTTTCCTCCAAGGAGCTCAAGGTAGTGGACACAGTTCTTCCCCTCCTCAATTAATCCCCACAACGACCTTGCAGATTAGGTTATGCTGAGTGGCAGGGAGCATCGCCAAGTGAGCTTTGTGGCGCAGGGTGGGGATCAGTGGCGTAGCGTGGGTTGTCAGCACCCGGGGCAAGGCAAGTAATTTGCGCCCCCTAACCCGTGGATTTGCGCCCCCTAACCCGTGGATTTGCGCCCCCTAACCTGTGGATTTGCCCTAACCCCAGATGTTGCGCCCGGTGCGGCCGGCCCCCCCTGCACCCCCCACGCTACGCCACTGGTGGGGATTGAACCCTGGTCTCCCAGGTCCTTTCCTGACACTCTAACCACTATGGCGCACTGGCTTGGCCTCCACTGATGGAGGCTGTTGTTGTGGTTGGCATCCGTCTGCCTCGAAAGACAACGGAGTGTTCCTCCAGGGGTGAAGTCACACCGCTCTGTTAGCAGTAGCAAAACACCTCTCTAGGGCGCAAGCCTGGGCAGTGTGTCTGGAGGTCCTGGGCTACCCAGACGGCAAGACCTCTTGGCCTCACAGATGTGGTCCAAAGGAAAGCAGAGCAAGGCGTTTGGCACCAGCTTGGCTGCAGGAGTTGCCAGAAGGAGGCATACAAAGCACCATCCAACTGCCTTAGGGACACCACTTCAGATTTCCTTAGCCTTTTCTTCTCCTGAAGATATCTATCCCACAAGGCAGTGGAGGTTTAGGATCAGAGTTTTCCTTCTCCTAGGTGGGCTCCCTTCCCAGGTGGATGAGCCCCATCTGCCCCTCACTCCCCTCTTCAGATGTGCAGAAACCACCTTTTTGACCACAGAGCCCACTATTGGTTTCGTCTGCTCAATCCACCGGAGCCTGTCTTTGTACAGGTCAGTGTTGGTGCTGACCTTTAAAGCCCTAAACGGCCTCGGTCCTGTATACCTGAAGGAGCGTCTCCACCCCCATCGTTCAGCCAGGACACTGAGATCCAGCGCCGAGGGCCTTCTGGCGGTTCCCTCATTATGAGAAGTGAGGTTACAGGGAACCAGACGGAGGGCCTTCTCGGTGGTGGCGCCCACCCTGTGAAACGCCCTCCCTTCAGATGTGAAGGAAATAAGCAGCTATCTTTAAAAGACATCTGAAGGCAGCCCTGTTAAGGGGAGTTTTTAATATTTAATGCTGTATTGTTTTTAACATTCGATTGGGAGCTGCCCAGAGTGGCTGGGGAAACTCAGCCAGCTGGGTGGGTATAAATAATAAATTATTATTATTATTACAGTGGTACCTCGGGTTAAGTACTTAATTCATTCCGGAGTTCTGTTCTTAACCTGAAACTGTTCTTAACCTGAAGCACCACTTAAGCTAATGGGGCCTCCTCCTGCTGCCGCGCCGCCGGAGCACGATTTCTGTTCTCATCCTGAAGCAAAGTTCTTAACCTGAAGCACTATTTCTGGGTTAGCGGAGTCTGTAACCTGAAGCGTATGTAACCTGAAGTGTATGTAACCCAAGGTACCACTGTATTATTATTATTATTAATTATTATTATTATTATTATTATTATTACACAGGGGAAGTTCCTAACTCACTGAGGGTTTGAGACCCTCACCTGGTTGAGCCAGAATTATGGGAGCTGGAGTCTGAAAACATCTGTAGGGCCATACATTTCAGGCCCGCCTAGGTATACTGATGAATACAAGATGCTCACCATCCTCTTTAAATTGAATGCTTTTAAGGGGGGTGGGAGCAACCCCAAAACTAACACCACTGAATAAAATTAAGGGAGTTACATCGTGCAATTGATTTTTCTTCTCTTTACAATTAGGTATGCATCAGTGCTATTTTTCTAGAAAAAGAGGTGCCAGAACTCACCGTGAACTTCTCCCTTGTTCTCTTATAATGGCAATGGTCGCCACCTGAATTCCGGTGAGTTCCGGCTGAAAAAAATCCCTGGTAAGCACATATATAAGGTCCACTGGACATTTGAATAGTTTATTTTTTATAACACACACATATGTACACACACACAAACACAGGTTTCAGCCTAACTTCTAAATACTACAAACAGAACAGTGTGTGAATTAATGAAACAAAATGAGGCGCTACTCAGAATAAGTCTTTTTATTGACAGTGAGCCCATCAGCTCAAATTTCACTTACGTACAAAACAATAAAATTAAGTTTACCTTTACGGAAGTGGATTGCATGTATTAGTCATCAGAGACAATGCAATCAGTAGGATGTGAGCCGATTTCAAAACATCCTCTTTGAATCATATAGGGCCATAGATATGTTTGGCATTTAGTTTACTTTGTAAGATTTATAAGCTACTCAATCATCAAACCCTCTAAGCGGGTTACATAAAATATTAAATATGCATTAAAATAATTTAAGCTTCCTTCCCACTCTATATACCCTATCAATTCAGGTATCAGGAATTGAAATCGTCAAGTATTTTCTGTATCACAGAGCTCGTTGCACCGGAAAGTCCTCTGGAAGAACGTACAGCAAGACATGTCCGCTTCGTGAATTTGGACTCTGGGAGACAGTGCCAGCATAACCTGTGGAATTAATTGGAAAGCAATTCTGAATGCTTTCTCATCAGAATGCCTTACCACTGTATTGGACTACTGCAATGCGCTCAACATGGGGCTACCTTTGAAGGTGACCCGGAAACCACAACTACTCCAGAATGTGGCAGCTAGACTGGTGACTGGGAGTGGCTGCTGAGACCATATTACACCGGTCCTGAAAGACCTACGTTGGCTCCCAGTACGTTTCTGAGCACAATTCAAAGTGTTGGTGCTGACCTTGAAAGCCCTGCGAGAACTGAGGTTAAAGGGAATCAGGCAGAGGGGCTTCTCGGTAGTGGCGCCCACCCTGTGGAACGCCCTCCCACCAGATGTCTAGGAAATAAACAACAATCTGACTTTTAGAAGACATCTGAAGGCAGCCCTGTATAGGGAAATTTTTAATGTTTGATCTTTTATTGTGTTTTTAACATCCTGTTGGGAGCTGCCCGGAGTGGTATAAATGGGCAGTGTACAATAATAATAATAATAATAATAATAATAATAATAATAATAATAATTCAATCTCCTTTTATAAAACAGCAAATCTAAACAATGCTCTTTCTATACCCTTTGAACAATTTCCTTTGGAACTAACTGCACTTGCACTAATTGTAATTGCACTTGGAATTAATTAGGGTTGCCATACACCCAGGAAAACCCAGGCATGCCCTCTTTTTGGGATCCAACATGCCCATTCAGGTGTATTTTTACATTTTAAAGGAAATGTCTGGGTCAGTGGGGGTGGGGTTCAGACTCAGGTTGCTCTGCACGCTGCAGCCGCTGCCATCGTGAGCTGGGGAAAGAGGCATGCTGGCACAGTTTGGCTGTCCTCTTTTTTGCTCTTCAAAATATGGCAACCCTAAACTGGACATTAAGACATTTTTGCACCTAGAAGCCCCAAGTGGAATCATATATCCATCTAATCCATCTAATTCCTGCAATGCAGGAATCTCAGCTAATGCCTCCATGAGAGGTGGCCATCCAAACTCTGCTTAAAAACCTCCAAGGAAGATAAAGGTAAAGGGACCCCTGACCATTAGGTCCAGTCATGGCTGACTCTGGGGTTGTGGCGCTCATCTCACTTTACTGGCCAAGGGAGCCGGCGTACAGCTTCCGGGTCATGTGGCCAGCATGACTAAGCCGCTTCTGGCGAACCAGAGCAGCGCACGGAAATGCCATTTACCTTCCCGCCAGAGCGGTACCTATTTATCTACTTGCACTTTGACGTGCTTTGGAACTGCTAGGTTGGCAGGAGCAGGGACTGAGCAACGGGAGCTCACCCCGTCGCGGGGATTCGAACCGCCGACCTTCTGATCGGCAAGTCCTAGGCTTTGTGGTTTAACCCACAGCGCCACTCGCATCCCTCCAAGGAAGATAGGTTCACCTAAACAAAAATGTTTTAAGCAGGCACCAAAAAGAGTACCGCAAATATGCCTTCCTGGTGTCAGTAGGCTGGGAATTCCCATTTGAGCAATGAAGGACATCTTACCTTTGCTCTTTGCACCATGCTTTTCTCATCAGCCGAGATGAATTTCGCCCTGGTTAATCTGCCCCATAATTTCATTGTATTTGGAGGTGACGGCGTTGGCTCTCCTTGTCAGCTGTGCGAGGACACGATACAAGCTGGACACGTGGTAATAGAAATAGCCTTCAGGGTTCTGCTTCTCTTTCTCTTCCTGTTCTTTCAGACGGCTGGCGACATCAGGGTTCTGGTTACTGAGAGGCAACAGGCCACCTTCCACCACCAGCTTCATGGATTTCAGCAGCGTGTAATAATCATACAGATCTTTGCCGCCCGAGTCAGCCTCAGGCGTGTTGTCCTGCCATTCCAAGGGGACGCCCTGGAGAACGCTGGGGAACATCACCGTTTGCTCCATCTTGCGGACCGCAGAGAAGTAATCTTCCATGGTTGCGAGAGGAGAGACTTCTTTGAGCCTAAAGCCTCGGGGGATCTCAGGACCGTTAGATGTGAGCGTTCCTTGCTTCCAGTTGGTGTGGCAATTTATGAGCAAGCCTGGGTGGAAACCAGCCGTGGAACGTGTGATCAGGAAGAGGTCCATTGGAGCGGTGGACAACACCCCTCTGTCCCCAGCCAATCACATTTCTCCTCCTCTGGCATCTCATCAGTTGTCTCCTATGTGGTTAGCAATGTGACTTTATTTACAGGTTGGAATGAACCCAAATTAGAGGTGGACTGATTGACCCCAGTTGAAGCCAGGACTTGCTGATCAATAACTGACAAGTCATGATGTGCAGGGGCTGAGTGGAAAACGCCAAGCCAAATCAAGCAATATTTATTCCCAGGGTTTCAGAATCATTGGAGGACAAAAAAACAGGCTTGCAATAACTACATGGAGAGCCATTGCTACTCCTGAAGGCAGAGTGTGCTGGGCCCAGGGGTAACCCGTGAAACGCAGTCCAGGACCGGTCCAGAATCCGAAGGTTCTGCTAGAAGTCAGTCTGACAGGGCCAAGGCAGGACACGAGGCAAGGACAGGTACAGGATCTCAGGCAGGATCTAGCATACAGCAATGTTGCTCCCGCAACCTGGGGCAAGGTCCGACAGCCTTTTATCTTTGTTGGGGTAATGGCCGGTCCTGATCCCCCGGTGACTCACCTGCCTGTTTCGCCCGACGGTGAGCACTCCTCCTGCGAGTACTCAGGTCTCTCCTTCTCTCAGACCTCAGTCTCTGCAGCTCAGGAGACGTCAGTGGGTTACTAGACCCAGGGGCCGCCTCAGCCTCCCCTGACCCAACCGGTAGTGGAGCAGCTGTAAGTGATGGCCTGGCTGAAGGCAACGAGGTAATCCTTGCATCTGGAGCCAGGGCAGGCTCAGGCCCCTGACTCGGCCCAGCTGGTGTTTGTTGCAGGGGAACCTGTGCAGACTGGGGCTCTTCAGGATCAGGCCCCAGACTTGGTTCAGATGCCGCCTGAGGCAAAGGATCCGGTGCAGACTGAGACTCCTCTGGTTCCGAGTCTGAGTCCCAGGCCATCACACAGAGAAGTCTTGGATGCTCTTAATGCAGGCATCCCCAAACTCGGCCCACCAGATGTTTTGGGAGTCCAACTCCCACCTTTCCTAGCTAACAGGACCAGTGGTCAGGGATGATGGGAACTGTAGTCCCAAAACATTTGGAGGGCCAAGTTTGGGGGTGCCTGGCTTAACCCATGCTTGATCTTTCACCAAATCATAGAACCTTAGAGTTGGAAGGGGCCCTGAGGGTCATCTAGTCCAACCCCCTGCAATGCCGGAATCTCAGCTAAAGCATCCACGACAAATGGCCATCCAACCTCTGTTTAAAAACCTCCAAGGAAGGACAGTCCACCACCTCTCATGAAACAGCTCCTCTGTTCCACTGCTGAACAGCTCTTACTGTCAGAAAGTTTTTCTCCTTTCTTGCAGCTTGAAACCATTGGTTCTATCACGGTTTGGTTCACAGGCGATCGAAGTCCCGGCAGGGGACGTCAGGACCGGGGGCAAGATGGCGGGGTGGGAGCAGGAACGGGGGTCCAGAAGCCAGGAGTCAGGAAGCCAAGAATCCGAGGGTCAGAGAGCTGGGAGTCAAGAAGCCAAGGGTCCAAGGGTCAGGAAGCAAGGAGTCATGAAATCAGGGGTCCGAGGGTCAGGAAGCCGAGGTTCAAGGATCAGGAAGCAAGAAGCCCAAGGCAGCAAGCATGTTGCTGTGGCAAAGAGCAGAAGGGAAATGCTGACCTTATATCCCTTCCAGGCTCTTGCCACCAGGTGCAGTGAGTTACCAAGTGGCCTCACCTGTGTGGCTGTGCCTTGCCTCTCCAGAACAAACTTAGGAAGTTTGCAATCCTGCAAAGTCCTATTTGTCACAGAGCCTGGCTCCTGCACGCACACCTGACAGGTTCGAATCCTACCCTCCAGAGCGGGAGAAAACAAGCTTGCTCCCTCCTCCATGTGACAGCCCTTCAGATATTTGAAGATGGCTATCCTATCTCTGAAGATGGTGACAGCAGTCACGAAATTAAAAGACGCCTGCTTCTTGGGAGAAAAGCAATGACAAACCTAGACAGCATCTTAAAAAGCAGAAAGATCACCTTGCCAACAAAGGTCCGTATAGTTAAAGCTATGGTTATCCCAGTAGTGATGTATGGAAGTGAGAGCTGGACCATAAAGAAGGCTGATCACCAAAGAATTGATGCTTTTGAATTATGGTGCTGGAGGAGACTCTTGAGAGTCCCATGGACTGCAAGAAGATCAAACCTCTCCATTCTTAAGGAAATCAGCCCTGAGTGCTCACTAGAAGGACAGATCCTGAAGCTGAGGCTCCAATACTTTGGCCACCTCATGAGAAGAGAAGACTCCCTGGAAAAGACCCTGATGTTGGGAAAGATGGAGGGCACAAGGAGAAGGGGATGACAGAGGACAAGATGGTTGGACAGTGTTCCTGAAGCTACCAGCATGAGTTTGACCAAACTGCGGGAGGCAGTGGAAGACAGGAGTGCCTGGCGTGCTCTGGTCCATGGGGTCACGAAGAGTCAGACATGACTAAACGACTAAACGACTAAACAACAACAACATCCTATCTCCTCTCAGTCTCCTCTTTTCCAGGCTAAACATACCCAGCTCTTTCAAGCGCTCCTTAGAAGCAGTGCTATAGGATAGCCACCTCTGAATATCAGCACACCAGTTTCTACCTCCTCTCTTTCAAAAGACTGTGATTATTATTTTTTAAGGTTGTGGAATGGGAAGGAAGGGAATAGAGAACACCGTTGCATGCTAGCTTGAAAACATGCCCACATTGTTATGTGCAAAAGTGCACTGGGAGATAAAGGACCCCTGTTTATTTCAAATGATATGTGTGCACACAGCCTAAATCGGTGGTGAGAGGGCGATCTGGCTGCGACATCTGTCACCCCATTGATCGCCAGGGTTTATCTGGCTATGCCATAGTCAATGGGCGTAGCCCACGAAGCAGAGGAGCCTTCAGAAATTAGTGAGAGCGTATTGGGGCATTGCACAGTGCTTATTGTTCAAACAGGGGTATTACAAGCTATTTCCATCTGTGAAATGTTGGAAGGGGCAGGGACAACTACATGGCCAAGGCAGCAATCCTAGAATCAGGGACCTGAGCAGTGCTGGATTTACATATGAACTAAACAAGGTATAGCTTAGGGTCCCACTCTCTTGGGGGCCCCCAAAAAATTTAAAGAAAAAAAAGCACTGGATGTACATTTCCAAAATATAAGATAAAAAACAAATAAAATAAAACCTACATACAGCAACAGTGTTTTGTGTTGTGTAGGCTCCTATGATGTAAGTAATGGCCTGTTAGCCCGCTCCCTCAAATATCACTGGTTTGCTCATTTCTATATATAGGGTGCCTACATTCTGCATGTGCAAATGGCTTTAGATGGCTATTAGGCCCATAAATTACCATATAGCATATATTCAGCACAAAAAACAGTGACAATTTGTTGTTGACAAAGGACAGCTGGACATATAAAGGGCCCCATTACTTTCAGTAGCTTAAGGCCTCATCAAACCTAAATCCAGCCCTGGACGTGAGTCCCGAACAGGGACAGACTCAACAAAAATCTTGGTTTGATGTTACGGGAAGGTGTACTAGCATTTCTGGAAGACACACAGCTCTGTGGTATCACATGTGTTTTCCATGCAGGAGGTTCCAGGATTGATGCCCAGTACAGTGGTACTTCAGGTTACAGACACTTCAGGTTACAGACTCCGCTAACCCATAATAGTACCTCGGGTTAAGAACTTTGCTTCAGGATGAGAACAGAAATCGTGCTCCAGCGGCACGGCGGCACCAGGAGGCCCCATTAGCTAAAGTGGTGCTTCAGGCTAAGAACAGTCAGTGGCGTAGCGTGGGGGTGCAGGGGGGGCCAGCCGCACCGGGCGCAACATCTGGGGTTAGGGCAAATAAACAGGTTAGGGGGCGCAAATCCACGGGTTAGGGGGCGCAAATTACTTGCCTTGCCCCGGGTGCTGACAACCCATGCTACGCCACTGAGAACAGTTTCAGGTTAAGAACGGACCTCTGGAATGAATTAAGTACAGTGGTGCCTCGCAAGACGAAAAGAATCCGTTCCGCGATTCTTTTCTTCTAGCGGTTTTTTCGTCTTGCGAAGCAACCCCATTGGCGGCTAAGTGGATTAGCGCTATTAGCGATTTAGCGCTATTAGCAGCTTAGCGGGCTTAGCGGCTAAGCTGTTAAAAGGCTATTAACAGCTTAGCCGTTTTGAAAAAGGGGGGTGAAAGCGGGGAACTCCCTGTCTGAAATCCTGGAGAGCCCCTTGGCAAAATACCCTCTTGGGGGACCTTTCCTGACAGGCAAGGAGCAGTCCTCCTGTGAGGCGGCCATTTTGATTTATGCCCCTAACATGAAGTTGCTCCATGGAAAATTAAAAGGGCTGTCTCTAACTTAGGGCCCATTCACTCTTTGCTTGTTCTGGGATTTTTTTAGTCACCGGGTCTGAGAGGTTTTTCTCCCTTCACTTAAGCAGGGAAATCCCATTTGATGCTTGTTCCAATTCAGCAGTAAACATCAGATTTTCCCAGTAAAAACGGCAGGGGGGGGGGGAAAAATCTCTCAGACCCATGACTAGAAACCAGGTAGGGTTGCAATATTTCAAAAAGTAAAAATCTGGACACAAAAGCTTTCTCTTTTTTGGGCAAAGTTGGCGAGCTTTTTTTTGGTTTCCCTATTGGCCAAAGTTGTTGAGTTTTATTGGCAAATCCTTTTTTTAAAAAAAGTTTTTGAGCTTTTTTTTTTAGGAAATTTGCCAAAAAATTACCCCACTTCTGATACAGGCTTCCATACGCCTGGATTTTCCAGGACATCTTAAAAGATTTCTGAAAATTGCGCCCGGACGCTGTTTTCAGTGGAAATTGTGGATTTACCCTTAATCACACAGCAACACACACACACAAAAAGGCTGAATTGTGGGCAGGGCACTGATGCCCTTCATTTCCTTACAGGAGCCATGTGGTGGCACAGAGCTTATCTCCAGTGAAAATGATTTCAGATAGCAAACATAATAGGCAAAGAATCTGGATGAGAGCCATTACCTGTCAGAGTAGTCAACAGCTACAGCACTAGATGAAACAGTGGTCTAGGCAGCTTCAAATGATGCAAAATGCTTTATTAGTCTGAACTAAAAGCAATATTTAAACATCAGAAAGCAATGGAAACCCAAGGCATACATTTGCCATGGAGTTTATAGATATCAGTTTTGTCCACAAATACCATACAGATAGACATTTTGTTCACAAATATAATATAGATAGCAATTACGTTCACAAATAGAATATAGATAGCAATTACGTTCACAAATATCAGTGCTTGGCTTATTCAAGTAAAGTCCATGCTACACAACGTTGTGGGGTAGATGCTGCAGTCAAGGTCTCTAGATTGTCCATTGAGAGCCTTCGTTGCGCAGCCTCAGACAGAGGACCCAAGTTGTACACATGTGCAGGTTCAGAAATTCAGGTTGTCCTGTAAAACGGAAAATGGAAAAGGTGTTAACATGGTGGGTTGTGTCTTAATTTAAACCAAGGGTCCCTGTGACTCAGCCCCTAGAACTTTACTGATAGCCAACATGGGGTTCTCCTGATTTTATTGGGGTACTACAACTCCCATATTCCCAGTCAAGTTGACCAATGGTCAGGAATGATGGGAGTTCTAGTCCGGCAACATTGAGAAGGCACCACGTTAGCTTAGCTTTCCATTGAACAAATAGCCTGAATCCCAAAACTAAGGCCTGAAATATGAATGAATATAAGATTACCCTCAGCACCGAAAGATGGACCTGCCATGTCAGAAAATGGCATTCCGCAGCCCAGCCTGTGTTGACCTGGTGGCTACAACTTCCCTCATCCACAGCCAACAATGGCCACCAAATTAACCAGGAAGGAAGGAAGAGTTTGCAAGCCTATTTTTAAAAGCTCTTTGACTCTGTTAACAGGCAGTGCCGCAACAGGAGACTACAGTACGGTGGTGCAAAATCACCTTTTATCACATCCACTTCTATTGGCCGATGGTCGCCATGTGGAAATTTTAAAAGCGTGGATGCATACAAACATGGAAGGAAGGCAGAATTTATGATGCAGGAAACCAGCTGATAGAGCCTTCCACAAACTGTGCCTGCCACATCTTTTTGACCACGGTTCCCATAGTCATGTTGGCTGGGCTTAAGGGAGAACACTAGATGGGAGAAGGCCGAGTGAGCTGATAACTCACCTTTGGTGTCCTTGGCATATGTCTCACCAGCGGAGAGAGATTTCGTTCTGGTTGATCTGCCCCATGATTTCATTGTATTTGGAAGTCACGGCGTTGGCCCTCCTTGTCAGCTGGGTGAGGACGCGGTGCAAGCCGGACACGTGGTAATGGAAGAGATCTTCCAGATCAGCCTTCTCTTTGCTCTCCTCTTCCTTGAGGCTGGGATTCTGGAAGTCAAGAGGTGCTAAGCCACCCTCTGCCCTCCCCTTGATGGCTTTTAGCAGAGTGTAATCTTCATACAGGTCTCTCTCGCTGGAGTCTCCGTTGCTCGAGTCGGTCTCAAATGTTTCAGCCTGGTCTTCCAAGGAGACTCCGAGGAGGAGGCTGGGAAACATCACCGTTTGCTCCATCTTGCGGACGGCAGAGACGTATCTTTCCATGGCGATGGGTCGAGAGGGAGTCTCCGGATCTGAATTTGACTTCTTTTTCAGGGTCCCAATCTGCGCTGTGCAAGAAAGGTGAGCTGTGTTAGGTTTCAGCCTTGCTGGTGGCAATTTATATAGCAATCTTGGTCACTTCCAGAAAGCCTCAGTGGGATAGTTCCATGCCATTTCCAGGACCCTCCTTTCCCAGGGAGCCAATCCCAGCTTCCCGTGAATTGCAAGATTTTGGCAGTGACTCGACTGTGGGTTGCAGTGTGATTTTATTTACAGTCTGGATTCTTTCCCAAACTCTTTTGCCCATATCAGCGACTTGGCATAAAGTTGGATGCTTGTGTGTTCAGGTTGCCTCCCACCCCCATAATGAAAGAGAGAGAGACCTAAATTAAGTAATCACCAAGACTGGTACTAAATTAAACAGCTTTTGGCAAGCCACACTGCTGGGAAACCACAGAAAGACTGCCTTGGATGGTATTGCATAATTTGCACTCAGTTTGTGATAGCTGGGTCATGCCACCATCTTGCTGTGGGGCACGTGAAGCAGAGATCTTGCAGACTGTCTTCAAACCACAGGGCCAGAAAAAGATGTTTGGCAAGCAACCTAAGTCTGGGAATCCACGTCCGGTCTGAACATCTATACAGGGTCAAGGGCTGGGCACGAGTCTTAAGCCCAGTCTCCTCTCTGTTTAGACTTCTAATTTCAGGGACTTGGGCAGAGGTCTGTCTTGCCACCCGCAACATGAAGATGCCAGATGGAAGTAATATTTAGTGGCTAATCCCAGCAGTGATGTATGGAACTGAGAGCTGGACCATAAAGAAGGCTGATCGCCAAAGAATTGATGCCTTTGAATTATGGTGCTGGAGGAGACTCTTGAGAGTCCCATGGACTGCAAGAAGATCAAACCGATCCATCCTGAAGGAAATCAGCCCTGAGTGCTCACTGGCAGGACAGATCCTGAAGCTGAGGCTCCAATACTTTGGCCACCTCATGAGAAGAGAAGGCTCCCTGGAAAAGACCCTGATGTTGGGAAAGATGGGCACAAGGAGAAGAGGACGACAGAGGACGAGATGGTTGGACATTGTTCTCAAAGCTACCAGCATGAGTTTGACCAAACTGCGGGAGGCAGTGGAAGACAGGAGTGCCTGGCGTGCTCTGGTCCATGGGGTCACGAAGAGTCGGACACGACTAAACAACTAAACAACAACAACAACAACAACAATTTATTATTTGTACCCCACCCATCTGGCTGGGTTTCCCCAGCCACTCCGGGCAGCTTCCAACAAAGATTAAAAATACATCAAAATGTCATACATTAAAAACTTCCCTGAACAGGGCTGCCTTCAGATGTCTTCTAAATGTCAGGTAGTTCTTTATCTCCTTGACATCTGATGGGAGGGCGATCCGCAGGGCGGGCGCCACTACTGAGAAGGCCCTCTGCCTGGTTCCATGTAGCTTTGCTTCTTGCAGGGAGGGAACTGCCAGAAGGCCCTCGGCGCTGGACTTCAGCGTCCGGGCAGAATGATGGGGGTGGAGACGCTCCTTCAGTTCTACTGGGCCAAGGCCGTTTAGGGCTTTAAAGGTCAACACCAACAAACTGCTTCGGAATGTAGGAAGCTAACTTATAGAGAGTAATAGAATTGGTCCATCTAGCTCCCATGGCAAGTGCTCTCAAGCTGATCAGCAAGGGGTCTCAAGCAGGGTCATTGGGCGAGAGACCTTGCGTATAATATACAGTGGTACCTTGGTTCTCAAACTTTATCTGTTCTGGAAGTCCGTTCCAAAACCAAAGCGTTCCAAAACCAAGGTGTGCTTTCCCATAGAAAGTAATGCAAAACGGATTAATTTTTTTAAAAAAAACAATATTTATTGCTTTTCCAACAATTTAAACACAACACTACAAAAAAAGAAAAGGAAAAAAGAACAATACAATACAATACAAAAACACTACATAACACTAACACATTAAACTAACATAACCAAACAAAAACAGTTTAAAACACATCAAACAATTTCAATATCTTATCTTTCATTCACTTATTTCCACGACCTCCTCACACCTCCCTTTTTGTATTCCACTTCTATTAGTTGTTTCAGCAATTCCTTTCCATCTTCCTCTGTTTTCTATCCTATAATTATCTTAACACATTCTAACCTTATTTTTCTTTTAATATTCTATTAATCTATTCATACTTAATTCCTTGTAACATTTCTACTAAAGCCATATCACTTCATTCCAACATTCTTCTAACATTCATTAATTTTACAGTGTTTCCGTAAATAGTCTTTAAACTTTTTCCAGTCTTCTTCCACCGACTCTTCTCCCTGGTCTCAGATTCTGCCAGTCATTTCTGCCAGTTCCATATAGTCCATCAACTTCATCTGCCATTCTTCCCTGGTGGGTAAATCTTGTGTCTTCCAATACTTCGCGATGAGTATTCTTGCTGCTGTTGTTGCATACATAAAAAAAGTTCTATCCTTCTTTAGCACCAATTGGCCGACCATGCCCAGGAGAAAGGCCTCTGGTTTCTTCAGGAATGTATATTTGAATACCTTTTTCATTTCTTTATAAATCATCTCCCAGAATGTCTTAACCCTTGGGCATGTCCACCAAAGGTGAAAGAATGAACCTTCAGTCTCATTACATTTCCAACATTTATTGTCGGGCAGATGGTAAATTTTTTCAAGCTTGACTGGTGTCATGTACCACCTATAAATCATTTTCATTAAATTTTCTCTTAGGGCATTACATGCCGTGAATTTCATACCTGTGGTCCATAACTGTTCCCAGTCAGCCATCATTATGTTATGTCCAACATCTTGTGCCCAAAACGGATTAATTGGTTCCAGACTTTTAAAAACAACCCCTAACACAGCAATTTAACATGAATTTTACTCTCTAACGAGACAATTGATCCATAAAATGAAAGCAATCGTCAATGTACTGCACTATAAAATAAATAAGTCAGTATTGTAGATGTTAAAAATTAAAGTATTTCTTTTCTTACCTGCACTGATGATAGTCATTGTTTGGATGGGGGGGGGGTTATCCATTTTACGCAGTCACACAATCCAATCGGTAGCTGAACTGGGTTCCACACAGTCACAAAAACAAATTAACCGAAAAAGCCTCAAAAACAAAAATGCAAAATAAATAGCAAAAACAAAAGTGCCAAACTTAATCCATTACGGAAGTCCGTTTGACTTCCGAAATGTTCAAAAACCGACCCACCCTGGAAGAATGGCAGATGAAGGTGATGGACTATATGGAACTGGCGGAAATGACTGGCAGAATCCGAGACCAGGGAGAAGAGTTGGTGGAAGAAGATTGGAAGAAATTTAAAGACTATCTACAGAAATACTGCAAAATTAATGAATGTTAGAATGATGTTGGATTGAAGTTAAGTGGTTTTTAGCAGTAATGTTATAAAGGAATGTGCAAAAATGGATTGTTAACAGGTGATAATCTAAAGTTATAATATATTAAGATTAAAGATTAGGATAAAAATAAAGAGGGAAAGGATTTGCTGAACCAACTAATTGAACTGGAATACAAAAAAGGGAGGTGTGAGGAGGTCTGGGGAACAAGCAAATGAAAGATAAGATACGGAAAGATTGAATTGTTTTTAACTGTTTTTACTTTGTATTTTTTCTTTTTCTTTTTTCTTTTTGTAACATTTTGAAAACTTTAATAAATATCTTTTAAAAAACAACAACAAAATGTTCAAAAACCGAGCCGTGGCTTCTGATTGGTGCAGGTGCCCCGGCAACCAATAGCCGACAGCTGCATCGGACGTTCAGCTTCCAAAAAATGTTCAAAACCCGGAACACTTACATCTGGGGTTTTGGTGTTTGGGAACCAAAGCGTTTGAGAACCAAGGTGTTTGAGAACCAAGGTACCACTGTACAACTTACAGCATAGGAGAAGTTATGGAACTGGGATTTGAAATTCACAGTATGTTATATGTTGAAAGAAAACTATATGAAAATGATGCTGGTATTTAACTCCTAGTAAATTAGCAAAAAATGTATAAAGCAGGGTCAAATATATGCTGGAAATGTAAGGAAAAAGAAGGCACCTTTTATCATAAGTGGTGGAATGTAAGGCAGTAAAAAGGTGGGGGGGAATGATATATAATGAATTGGGAATTTAAAAACAAACAAACCAAGAAGCCTTTCTTTTAGGAATTCTAGGTGCCAAAGTCCCAGTGGAGCAGAAAAGACTATTTATGTATGTGACCATAGCTGGTCAGATATTAATGGTCCAGAGATGGAAATAAGACAAAGTCCCGGCCAGAGAAGAATGGCAGATTAATTTGATGGACTCTGCTGAAATGGCAAAATTGACTGGAAGAATCAGAAATCAGGAAGACCAAAATTTTAATAAGGAATGGGGAAAATTTATAATTTATCTTAAAAACCTTTATAAAGGGCTAAAAATCATTAGTAGGCTTGGAATAACACTGGTAGTTTAATGTTGAACTTTGGATATAACGGAGATGAAAAAGAATTAGTAACGTAAAGGGACCCCTGAGCATTAGGTCCAGTCGTGACCAACTCTGGGGTTGCGGCGCTCATCTCGCTTTATTGGCCGAGGGAGCCGGCATACAGCTTCTGGGTCATGTGGCCAGCATGACTAAGCCACTTCTGGCAAACCAGAGCAGTGCACGGAAACGCCGTTTACCTTCTGCCGGAGCGGTACCTATTTATCTACTTGCACTTTGACATGCTTTCGAACTGCTAGGTTGGCAGGAGCAGGGACCGAGGAACGGGAGCTCACCCCGTCGCAGGGATTCGAACCGCTGACCTTCTGATCAGCAAGTACTAGGCTCTGTGGTTTAACCCACAGCGCCGATGGAGGAAATATTCAACAAAAGGACCCACAAAGGGGAAGAGGGAAGGTCAGGAGATTCTTTGGAACCTTCTTTTGATGTTGGTTGTTGATAATTGACTGTAAAACTTTAGACTTAAAAACTAAATACGGTAATTAAAATAAAAAAAAGAGTTTCAAGCAGGGAAACTCTTTCCTCCCTACCTGGAGGTGGTGAGGACTGAACATGAGATCTTCTGCATGTATAGCAGATGCTCTGCTGCTGAGTATTTCAACTTTTGTGGGTTTATTTACAATGGTGGAGCATGCCTGATCAGTTCTAGCCAGCTGCCTCTTAATGGTCAGCACCAAACAACAACCAGACAGACATAGACCCAGAATAGAATGTAAATACTTTTGGATGCTTGACCCCATCAAAACAGTCCTTGAGCAGTGATGTTGTCTTTCAACAGACGAATGAGAGAGAGAGAAAGGGATGTTCTCTGTTTTGGGATGCGTCTCCTGAGCAGTTCATGGCAGGCCAGGTACACACATGGCTGTCTAGCCAAACAGGGTATTGCCTGGGCAGACAAGTGGGGTGATAACTTGGGCAAAGGGTTTGTGCCACC